GAGATGCGGGTGATGAGTTGGGGGCTCTACCTACCGCTACTGCAAATGTTGCTCTCTCATAAGCTTTTCTACACTTTTTTTCCTCATTCACTCCTCATAACTCCAACAGCTGTAAGCAAGCAAATGTAATAATGAATATTCTCTCTCTCTCTCTCTCTCTCTCTCTCTCTCTCTCTCTCTCTCTCTCTCTCTCTCTCTCTCTCTCTCTCTAGCTACAGTATGTGAGGTGTTTCCTTGAGGGACAGTTTGATAACATTCGACCACATGCAACTAAGTAATAATTTTACATATGTTCAGTCAAGCAGTCAATTAATCAATCTACCCAATCATCTAAACCGCCCATATATCTATAGTAATGTTTTTATGTACTGTATATATTGTAATGGTCATTAATTCGTGCTGGCGGGATCAGTCTCTATCCCCCGCAAATAACGGAAGTCAATTGTATACAAATATTGTAGCGATATATTTTTTTTCCTATTTGGCATAATTAGAAGTAATCAAGTTACATTATTTTTAAATGATGGTACTTGGATTATGTTATAAACTACATTTTAAAAGTAACCCTCCCATCCCTGTCAGAAATCTCATTTGCCCGTAATGAATTACACTTTGAAATTGAATCCAAGATGAAATACTGCTACAGGTAAATGTTACAGTTATTGATATTAACTGGGACTATACAAATTGGTCACCTGCACAATGAGTTTGACTCGTCGCTAATATGTGTTTTTGGCTAGTGGAAGAGGCTTACTGAGCGAAATGAGTCCCGTCAGCTGAATTTATATTAATTGTCTTCTATAGAATTTCTCAATGTGCTGCTTTAGAAAATGAGGAGAACCAGAAGAGTGAGGAAAAAAATCCAAACTGCAGCAGGGCTTTGAACTACTTATCAGCCCGTACTATCAAAGTGGATGGAAAGCAGGAAATGATTCCGCCTGTGATATCTGGAAACACTGCAAATTCTCACAATGCGGAACCCGCTGCTGTGATGGGTCCCAGAACGAAGACACATCTCCCTATTTGGCCAAGTTGCGCAACTGTTGGGTGGGTTTCTCAGTGGCAAGCGGACCAAACAAGAGGATTTTTGTTTTTTCTCTCTTGCTGGAAATACAGTATCATCACTCAGCCCAGCCCAAGTTCACACTCTTGTGTTCTAGTATGAATGTTGTACTCAAATATGGTAAATGAGCTGCATTGTTTGTGAGCATTGATTCTTGCAAATAATTCCGTTTTCCCGTGAATAAAAAAAAAATAACGATAACTGGATAAATATGACCGTTTCATCAGCGTCTCGTCAACGTGGACTTGACTTTCATCACATTCATGTTGACTTAAGACGCACACACACACACACACACACACACACAAGCTAATGACACACATGTAGTCTGCAAGATTCAAGTTCTAAACACAAATGCATTTTATAAGGTGACTTCTGCGTAGGAGTTTCGTGAAGGGGCGGAGGGCCTATTTCAATAACTTAAATATGTATTATTCAAGCATGCTTCTCCAAACTGAACCTGTCACTCCATTGCAATTAGGATATAATAAGGTGTCTGGGTGATGCTGAGAACCCAAGAGACTGTGGCATGCAACAGACATTTTTACTTTATTTTTTTATTTTTTTTCCTGATATTGTGCAATATCATGTTTGTGCCCCCCTATTATTTCAAATAGTACCACTTGCTTCTTGCCACCACAGTAAAGATTACCGGTAATAGCACTCTAAAAGCATTATATTATTGTCAATCGTAAACTTAATTAGCAATACTAATCGTCTCAGCCTGAAAGACAAGTTTGAAAACGAAAATCAACGTTCAGAAGATGTCAAGCAAATTTTTATTCGATACAATTTAAGAGCATGCTAGAAATTGTGTCATTTTTTTTCCTCCCTTGTAATTTTGGCAAAAGTAATACAATACAGGGGAAACACCATTTTGTGTTGCCCAACGTGTGTCACTTGGGACCTGCTCGCATGTGGCATCTACTTACACTGCAAACTCTGCGCCTTTGGGCAAAATATCCATCCGGGTTTTTAAAACCAGCATTCTCCCTATCTGTGTACTGGATATGCACTGACAAATAGTACTCTCATCGATCACTTTCTTTAGCTGCAAAAGCTCACAATCACATACACACACACATAAAGACACACACACCTACACATGCGCAGACACTCCTCCCCAAAGCGTGACCCCAAAACCTTACTTTTTGTCACACATCACATTATATCACATTGCATTTTGTCAAAAAGTCAGCCATGCTTGTCAAACGTGCCTTATGTAACCAACCTCCTCAAGTCCAGGAGCCCGCACCCCTTAGCAAGTCGCATTAAGCAGCACCAGCACCCACAACTTGCTATGCATACAGTCATCATTAATAATGAGGGGGGAAAATTCTCTTCTAGTTCCAAACACTAGCTGCTCTGTGAATCTGATTGACCTCTGATTTGTTTAATTGTATCATTTTATTCCCAAAAGAAATAATCGCCTTCAATTCCAGTATTCAAACCTTTATTAACGACACCCGTAATGTCTTTGATGGAGAGTGACACATTCAGTTTTTGACGCTGGTCAAGCTTCGATTTGCTCATATGGTCTTTTCAAACAAAATTAAATAATTATATTTCAATATTCAACATGAATTCTTGTCCACTGGAATTAGCCACTCAATTAGAATCTATAAAACACAACACTCTTAATTCATGCTTAGATTCTGTTGTTTTTTTTTTGTGCTGTAGTCTATTGCACCAAAAGCGGCAGTGACCAACCGGACATGGCCGATGGAGCGCCATCTACTGCGCTGGAGTGGAATCGTATTCCCTTTTGCACCATTTCTCAATCCAACAAGTCAGACGCACTTGTTATTTCGTATTGTTCAGCCAAGGAAAGTGCTGAGAAGCCCGACATTTGCAGTTTTTCTCCTGCAGGAGTGTGTTAGGGCAGCGGTCCCGAACCTTTTTTGCCCCACGCACCGGTTTATTGTCAGACAATATTTTCACGGACTGGCCTTTAAGGCCGGATAAATACAACAAAATAATGTGATATGACCTGCATGAAAACTCTGGTATTTTCTAAACATAATAAACACAAATCATGACCCGAGGAACGTCCTATCTGGCCGTAACGCTCTCTGGTCGCTATGGTAATGTTTAAAGGTGCCTTCAAAATAAGATACAGTTCACCGCAGATAAAAAGTGCATGAAACATGCGGGCTTGGTGCATGGGAGTCTCCCGTTGAGATAGATCCGTATTTTAGGTAGGACTCCTGATACCGTCTATTAAATGTAGCCTTTTTTTCTTGAAAGTCGAAGTCATTCTGTCTCCTGGCTGGGCCGTTTCCACTTCCCAAAAAAACTTTCCAAGACCTTTGTTTTTAACTCATCTGGCTAGCTCCTGGGAGAAGTGTGTCTCGACCCGCGTCAAGAGTGACATACTGTAGACGGATGTAACAGAAAATCCGGTAAATTTTCAAAATAAAACATCTTTCAGATTCTGAAATGAATAAAATGGAAGTAACGTAAGTTATTTATCCTTGCTGCGCGGCCCGGCACCAAAAGACCCACGGACCGGTATCGGTCCGCGCTCCGGTGGTTGGGGACCGCTGTGTTAGGGTACAGGTGGCCTCATACAGAGGCTCAAGCAAAAGCCTGTGCGGAAGAAGTTGGGAGATGTAGTGGAGAAGTTCCTCGTATCCCTGTCTACTCCTCCTCCTCCTCCTCCTCCTCCGCTTCCTCCTCCCCAGTAGTATTAATTAGCAAAAGCAGATGAGTGGCGAAAAGGAGCCTGAAGGGAGAACAGGTTCATGCCAGGTTAGCCTTCTTTTGCTCGATCACTTGCTGTCTTTCTTACACACCGATTATGAAATGTGAAATGGTGGAACAGTGCCCTGTTTTCCAAATTGTTCTTCGTGTGTCCAAAAACGCCACAAAATCTCGGACTTACGTATAACAGTCACATGTCCCCAATCGTTTATCCCGAGTGCCCCGCTCGATCTTGTCTGTGCTTTGTATTCACTCGCCCATAATTGTCAGGGCACAACCAGACAGGTGCAGCTGCGATCGATCCAACGCCCTGAGAATACCGACCTGGATGAATGACAAATGTTCACGGGGTGTGCCACTTGCGCGTCACTGTGACCCGTTGACCCTTTGTTCCTCGACGGGAGTGATCAATCTTCAAATTTTATGTTCTGTGCGGTCACTTCATTTCACTTTTCAGCCGTGTAGAATTGCACTACTTACAACTGCACTTCGGCCGCATGATGAAGTTGTGGTTAGCATGTGCCACACAGCCAAGAGGTTCTGGTTTTGAACCACATTCCAAAAATCAAACATGTTACGTTAGCTAGCGAACGTGCGCGTGATTTGTTGTTTGTCTCTATCTGCCCTGAGATTGCCTGCAGACCATTCTAGGCAAAACTGAACTTTCTGCCACCCTTTCTTCATCCCAAATTCGTAATGCCCCCACCGATAAGTCCTTCTTCGTTACTCACATCCCAAGATATGCTAGAAGCTAAAAGTGTTCGAAATTATAAACCGTGATACTTGCAATCTTCTGACCTTCGTGATGTCTGGCTGTGTGGGAGGACCGCACACACACACACACACACACACACACACACACACACACACACACACACACACACACACAAAAGCCAGTGATGACTCAATGTTGGAAACATCTTGCGTCAATTTTGGCCAAGTGGTTTTGTCCCAAAATGTAATCATCTGTCAAGATTGACAAAATTGACCGGCCTGCAGAGTTACAAGGAAAATCACTTCTACACCCTCGCAGGGAGGCTTAGATAGAATTGTGTCACACATTCAAGGCCATGCGATATTTTCACACCGTCTATGGGCAGGAAATGGAGTGAGTGCAGCCGCCTACTTATTGAGCAAGTGCAAATGTAATATGCATTGTGTTAATTATAAAAACTTTTTTTTCCCCCTGCTCTCGGTTCACCTTTACAGAATTCTTTTTCCCTTCTTTCTGCAGAATTCAATACGACATAACCTGTCCTTGAACAAGTGTTTTCTGAAAGTGCCTCGCTCCAAAGATGACCCTGGCAAAGTAAGTCACTCTCCAACATGGCCGCCGTTACTTTTTTACGTGTTTACTTACCCTCGTGGCACATTTGTGCTCTCGTCGGAGGGCGCGCCATGCTGTCGGGGTTGTGTGTGTGTGTGTGGGGGGGGGGGGGGGGGGGAGGTCATTGAAAAATGAATTAAGAAGGAAGACGGTTTAAATAATTCAGTGTGAATCCTTGAGCTTGAGTGGAGGTCTGCAAAGACACAAAGCGAGCACCTCCCCCTTGATTAGCCCGGCTTGGACCTGACCGGCACCTTAATTCATACCTCGGATCGAAGTGGTCAATAACTCAACACGGTGGGAGAGAACTTGAATGTAACATGGGCTGTTTGAAGCCATTGAGGGAGACGAGAAGCTAAATCATGCATGTGCTTACGTTAATTGGCTGTGTACTGTTCAGTGATGTGGGACTGGGAGACCGAGGGAGGAGAAAGTTGGGGGAGTGGAGGGAAGGAGACGTGCGCGCCCGCGTGTGTGTGTGTGTGTGTGTGTGTGTGTGTGTGTGTGTGTGTGTGTGTGTGCGCGCGCGCGTGGGGGGGGCCCGAACC